GCACATATACACACACACACACATATACACACACACACACACACACACACACACACACACACACACACAATGTGATTGTACCATGAAGTCTCTCAGCTTCAGTCGTCCTTGGCTGCAGTTGAAGAACGTGTCGTGCTGTTTGATGATCGTGCCCTCTGATTGGCTGAGCTCGGCGGCCTTCTTGGCAAACAGCGTAGGGTCGCTCACTTTGGCTTTGATCTCCACGTTGGACAGCATGACTCTACTGAGCATGTGCAGAACAAGAGGGACGACAGGAAGTCAGACAAGTTAACAATTTTATTTAAATACATTTAATGTCAATTCTATCTTAATTAAATTTTAAATAATTTTTGTTTAATCTTATTATATTTAAATATTACTTTTTTAAATATTTTATTATATATTTATGATATTTTTACTAAATCTTGACCTTAATTTGAAATATTAATGTATTTTCTGTGTGTTTTTCTTATTTATTTTTTAGTTATCATTTATTTTTTTATTTGTTTTAATTTTTTATATTACAAATGTAATAGTTTGTAGTATTCTCATTTCATTTATTTATATTTTACAGTTATCTATTTGTATTTATTTACACACAGTGTGTTTTAAATAAAAAATGTAAATAAACATTTTTATTTACTATATTAACTGATGGGTGGTAAAGAAAACACAATGCTTTTTATATAATTATTTTATAAATATTTATTTATTTAATTTGAATTACTCCTGCTGGTAAAGTGTCACTATTAAAAAATAAAAAGCTATTCTATAATCATATTTGTTTCATTCAAACAGACACCACCATGTTGTCCTCCATGTTGTTCTCATTCGTTGTCACCACAGAAGACCCGCCTCTCAACTCATCCGATTGGACGATGTGGAAAATAAACCCGCCAATCACGGCGGAGAACAGACGTTTTTCCTTCAACTCAATGCGTTAGCTAGCTAGCTTGTTAGCTACCCAGCAACTGAGCTAACACTGATGCTAAACCCTAAATGTCGTATTAAACATGGCGGATGGTTAACTAGCAACACAAAGCGTGGCTCATATTAATAAAAATGAACCGTGTAAGAAGTAAAGTGTGTTGTTTTACCTGTTCCCGGTGTCTCTGCCGCTGCTGCTGCTGGGTCTCCGAGTGTCAGCGCTTGGTTTTCCCGCGAAACACTCCCTCTGGGGTGGAGCATCAACGACGTGTCTGAGAGCGGCTGACTTCATACGAAGGGGCCGGGAGAAGACACCAAACTGACCGCAGAGCAGCCACATTTACACAGAGGGTCCTCCTCATGGATGGTCCGCCTACAGTCTATCAGAGACGATCTACGCATGTGCAAAGGAAAAACAGGAAACGGAAACAAAGACGTCTTACTCCGTTTCATATATTTTGCACTAAAGTAACAGCATCATGGCTGACTTCTAAAAAAAGTACTTTCCAAATTTGAAACTTCAAAACAAAGTCACCAAACTCCTTAGCTCTTCCAAATCGTAACACTTTATAATAATAATAGTATAATTCTCAAAAACATGATGAAAACACATCAGGTGATATCACTTTTTCTCTTTTATTTGCTTGAAGTGTAAGGCACTGCAAAACTATAATAATCATTATCGTTATTGTTGTTTTATGCCAAGTCAGTAAACCTTAAATTGTCTAAGCAGTAAATAGTAGACTGTTACTTCCAGAACCAATGTGTCACCCTATTTATTGCATTTACAATAATACAAATACAAAGACCATTCTTTAGCTTTGTGAGTCCGTTAAGTCATCAAACATCTTCTCATCAGCAGCTTTCAAGGCACACAATGGTTCCGCTACTTGTCTTTAGTCTCAGTGAAAAGGAGGAAGCCAACAGTTCAAACTTCAATCATTGGGATCTTGCAAATTACACAGCTACGTTTTAAAAGTAGCCCATGCATTGACTTGGGACTGGTGCTAATTATTCCACACCAGGGACAAATAAACCACATGTACCAGTCAGGATAATCACTATCTCCTGTGATGAAGTCAGCAGTCCGTCAGTCATGAGCTTTTTCTGCTTTATTGCTCCACACCGGCTTGCGTTTCTCGATGAAGGCCCGGATCCCCTCTTGTCCGTCTCTTAGAGCCAGGTTGTCAACCATCACCCTGGAGGCGGTGGCGTACGCTGCGTCTCGGCCTTGAGCCATTTGTCTTTTCAATAGAAACAAAAAGGAGTGCAGTGGAGGGAATATATTAAAACGGGTCGTCAGGAACCGTCTCAAGCATCCCAGGGCTTTAAATCAAAATAAATAAAATCTGTCTGTAGTCTGAAAACTCTCACCTCTGGAAAGTGGCCTTGCCGAGCGCCACCACAGGCCGGCTAGCCTGACACACCCGCTGGGCGATGGCGAACGTCTCCTCCTCCAGGCGCTCCTCTGGCACAACTTTACTGATCAGACCGTGCAGCAAAGCATCGTGGGCTGAGATGGGAGCTCCCGTCAACAGCATCTCCATCGCAACCTAATAAAAAAAAAGAAAGAGGAAAGAATAAGTGTTTATTAATAAGAGCTTCATACTAGAAGTGTCTTTCTACTGAAGTTCAGCTCTTACCTTCCGCGGCACAGATCTGCCGATGGCCACCGCCGGCGTCGAGCAGAAGAGGCCCACGTTGACCCCCGGGGTGGCGAAAGTGGACTTTTCCGTCGCGACGGCGACATCACAGCTGGCGACAAGCTGGCAACCGGCCGCAGTGGCGACACCGTCCACCATGGCGATCACCGGAACCGGTATGTCTTGAATCAGAGTCATCACCTGAAGCACAAGAGTCACACAGAAGCTGATGATGATGATGATGATGATGATGATGATGAGGGACAGAGACAGAAGAAAGAAAACAAACTCACCTCTGCACAGGTGTGAAACACCTTGGTGTGATATTCTCTGCCCTGAGCGGACGTCAGCTCCTTCAGGTCGTGTCCGGAGGAAAACACTGGACCTCTGGCTAACAACAGACGCACACATTAACACACACATTAACACACACACACACACACACACACACACACACACACACACACACACA